AAATCATGTACCCATTTTGATTTTATCTTGGCATAGGGTGTAAGATGTTGGTCTGTGCCTAGTTTCTGCCATATTATTTTCCAGTTTTCCCAGCAGTTTTCATTAAATAGTGAGTTCTTATCCCAGAAGCTGGAGTCTTTGGATTTATCAACTAGTAGGTCAGTATAGTCATTGACTATTATGTATTGCATACCTAGCCTATTCCACCTGATCCACCACTCTATTTCTTAGCCAGTACCAAGTAGTTTTAATGATTGCTGCTTTATAACACAATTTAAGATTTGGGACAGCTTAGCCACATTCCCTTGCATTTCTTTTCAGTAGTTCCCTTGATATTCTGGACCTTTTGTTCTTCCAGATAAATTTTGTTATTTTTTTTCTAGCTCTATAAAATAATTTTTGGTAGTTTGATTGGTATGGCACTAAATAAGTAAATTAATTTAGGTAGAATTGTCATTTTTTTATTATATTAGCTTAGCCTACCCATAAGCAACTGATATTTTTCCAATTATTTAGATCTGACTTTGTGCAAAAAGTGTTTTGTAATTGTGTTCATGTAGTTCCTGAGTTTGTTTTGGCATGTAGACTCCTACATATTTTATAATGTCTACAGTAACTTTAAATGGAATTTCTCTTTTTATCTCTTGCTGCTGGGCTTTGTTAGTAATATATTGGAATGCCAATGATCTATGTGGGTTTATTTTATAATCTGCAATTTTGCTAAAGTTGTTTATTATTTCAAGTAATTTTTTACTTGATTCTCTAGGATTCTCTAAGTGTACCATCATATCATCTGTGAAGAGTGAGAGCTTTGTTTCTTCTTTGCCTATTCTAATTCTTTCAATGTTTTTTTCTCCTCATTGCTTATAAGCTAACATTTCTAGTATAATATTGAATAACAGTAGTGATAATGGACATCCTTGTTTTACCCCCAATCTTACTGGAAATGCTTCTAGCTTATCTCCATTACATATAATGCTTGCTGATGGTTTAGATACTATCTATCATTTTAAGGAAGACTCTATTTATTCCCATGCTCTTTAGTGTTTTTAATAGGAATGGGTGCTATATTTTGTCAAAAGCTTTTTCTGCATCTATTGAGATAATCTTATGATTTCTGTTAGTTTTGTTGTTGATATGGTCAATTATGCTGATAGTTTTCCTAATATTGAACCAGCCCTGCATTCCTGACATAAATCCTGCCTGATAAGTTGTTGTAATCTCTTTGCTAACATTTTATTTAAAAAATTTGCATCTATATTCATTAGGGGAATTGGTCTATAGTTTTCTTTCTCTGTTTTGACTCTTCCTGGTTAAGGTATCAGCACCATATTTGTATCATAAAAATAATTTGATAGGACTCCTTCTTCATCTATTTTTCAAAACAGTTTATACAGTATTGGAATTAGTTGCTCTTTAAATGTTTGATAGTATTCACTTGTAAATCCATCTGGCCCTGGAGATTTTTTTTGGGAAGTTCATGGCTTGTTCAATTTCTTTTTCTGAAATGGAGTTATTTAAGTATTTTAGTCTCTTCCATTAATCTGGGCAATTTATATTTTTGTAAATATTCACCCATTACACTAAGATTGTCAAATTTATTGGCATATAGTTGGGCAAAATAGCTCCTAATTATTGTTTCAATTTCCTCTTAATTGGTGGTGAATTCCCCCTTTTCATTTTTGAAGCTGGTAATTTGGTTTTCTTCTTTCTTTTTTTAAAAATCAAATTAACTAAAAGTTTATCTATTTTATTGGTTTTTTCATAAAACCAGCTCTTAGTTTTATTTATTAGTTCAATAGTTTTCTTAATTTCAATTTTATTAATTTCTCCTTTGATTTTCAGAATTTTTAATTTGGTATTTAATTGGGGATTTTTAATTTGTTCTTTTTTTTAGCTTTTTTTAGTTGCATGCCCAATTCACTGATCTCTTCTTTCTCTATTTTATTTATGTGAGCATTTAGAGATATAAAACTTCCCCTAAGGACTGCTTTTGCTGCATCCTATAAGTTTTGGTATGTTGCCTCATTATTGTCATTCTTTTGGATGAAGTTATTGATTGTTTCTATGATTTGTTGTTTGATCCACTCTTTTTTTTAAAGGATTATTTAGTTTCCAATTAATTTTTAGTCTATCTTTCCATGGCCCTTTATTACATGTAATTTTTATTGCATCATGATCTGAAAAGGATGCATTTAGTATTTCTGCCTTTCTGCATTGAATTGTGAGGTTTTTATGCCCTAGTATGTGGTCAGTTTTTGTGTAGGTGCCATGTACTGCTGAGAAAAAGGTATACTGCTTTCTATCACAATTCAGTTTTCTCCTGAGATCAACCATATCTAACCTTTCCAAAATTCTGTACATCTCCTTAACTTTCTTTCTTGTTTATTTTGTGGTTAGAATTATCTAGTTTTGAAAGGGGGAGGTTGAAGTCCCCCACTAGTATAGTCCTGTTATTTATTTCTTCCTGTAACTCCCTTAACTTCTTCTCTAAGAATTTGGATGCTACACCACTTGATGCATATATGTTTAGTAATGATATTACTTCATTGTCTATGGTACCTTTTAGGAAGATGTAGTTTCCTTCCTTATCTCTTTTAATTAGGTCTATTTTTGCTTATAATATAATATATTCTATTCCAGCCTTTTACTTTTACTCTGTGTGTATCCCTTGGCTTCAAATGTGTTTCTTGTAAACAACATATTGTAGGATTATGGTTTTTAATCCACTCTGCTATTTACTTCCATTTTATGGGAGAGTTCATCCCATTCACATTAACAGTTATGATTACTATCTGTCTTTCTCTTCATCCTATTTTCTCTCCATTTATGCTTTTCTTTCTCCTTTCTCCCTTTCCCTCCTCACTAGTGTTCTGCTTTTGACCACTGACTCCCTCAGTTCACCCTCCCTTCTATTAGCCCACTCCCTTTTCTTCCCTTTTACCCTTAAAATGGTAGTACCCTGACTACTTCTTCCTTCCCTTTTATTTACCTCCTCCCTTTTCTTTTCTCTTTTCCTTCCTACTTCCTATAGGGTAAGTTAGATTTCTATACTTAATTGATTATGTTATTCCCTCTTTGAACCAAATCTTATGAGAGTAAGGTTCAAACAATGCTCCTTTCCCTTCCTTTTTTCCCTCTACTGTAATAGGTTTTTGTGCCTTTTCATGTGAACCTTTGTGCCTTTTCATTTACCCTTGTCTGCCTCCTCCTTTCCTTTTCTCTCAGTACAATCCCTTAATCAGATCCACTTAATCCACTTAATTAGATTTTTTTATCATCACATCAAAATCAACTTATACCTACCCCCTTTGTCTATGTATACCCCCCTTTAAATGGCATAATAACAATACATTTCTCAAGAGTTACAAGTGTCATCTTCCTTTCTAGGGACGTAAACTGTTTGTCCTTATTAATAACAAGTTTTTTTCTATCCTGTTTACCTTTTTATGCCTCTCTTGAGTCTTGTATTTGAAGATCAAATTTCTGTTGGGCTCTGGTCTTTTTTTTTTTTCCCTCAGGAAGGTCTGGAAGCCCCCTATTTCATTGAATGCCATCTTCTGAAAGATTATGCTGAGTTTTGCTGGAAAGTTGATCCTTGGTTGTAATCCAAGCTCCTTTGACTTATAGAATGTCATATTCCATGCCCTGCAGTCTTTTAATGTAGAAACGGCAAGGTCCTGTGTAATCCTTACTGCGGTTCCACAATATTTGAATTGTTTCTTCCTGGCTGCTTGCAGTATTTTCTCTTTAACCTGGTAATTTTGGAATTTGGCTACAATATTTCTTGGCATTTTCAATTTGGGATCTCTTTTAGGAGGTGATCAGTAGATTCTTTCAATGACTATTTTACCCTCTGGTTCTAGGATCTCAGGGCAGTTTCCTTGATGATTTCCTGAAAGATGCTGTCCAGCCTCTTTTTTTAATCATGGTTTTCAGGTAGCCCAATAATTTTTAAATTGTCTCTCCTGGATCTATTTTCCAGGTCAGTTGTTTCACCAATGAAGTATTTTATTTTTTCTTTTATTTTTTCATTCTTTTCTTTCTGTTTGACTGATTCTCACTCTCTGTAGAGTCATTAGCTTCCACTTGCCCAATTCTAATTTTTAATGAATTGTTTTCTTCTATTAGATTTTGTACCTCCTTTTCCATTTGGCCCTTCTTAGGGAGTTCTTCTCCTCAGTGAGTTTTTGTACCTCCAATTCTGCTTTTTAAGGAGCTGTTTTCTTCAGTGTACTTTTTTCCAGTTGGCCAATTGTATTTTTTTTTTAAGGACTTGGTTTCTACAGTTGATTTTTATCCTTCCTTTTCCAAGCTATTGACTCTCTCTTGCATGCCTCTCATTTCCTTTCCCAATTTTTCTTTTACCTCTCTTATTTGACTTTTAAAATCCTTCTTGAACTCTTCCAAGAAGGCTTTTTTGGCTTGAGACTAGCTCATAGTCCCTTTTGAGATTTCAGTTGTGGGTATATCGACAATGTTGTCCTCTTTTGAATCTGCCTTGATCTTCCCTGTCCCCATAATAAGAATCTATGGTCATTGTCTGTTTCTTTTTGTTCATGGTGTTTGCTTATTTCCTGACTTAAAAGAAAATTGAGCTGTCCTGCTGAAGAGCAGGGGGCACTGACCCAAGCTTCTTGTGCTGGGAGCCTGGGGCCTGGTCACTGGCTTTGTGCACTGGGGCCTCAGGTGCTGACAGTTGGAGGTTGTAGGGTACTGGTAGCTTACCTGTGTTGGGCTGGGCTCAGCAACACCGGAGCTTTGGGGGTAGGGGTTGGGGGGAAGCCTGCTTACCCAGGCCTTGCACTGCTTTCTTTGGCTCCTGCTCACCTGGGCCTTGCACAGGGATGTTTCACTGCTGGAGGATGTCTGTCAACATGGAGCTTTACCTCTTGGAGTTGTGCTTCCCAGAGTTTTGTTGAGGTACTGGGAGATTAAGGTGCTGGAGAATGTCGTTGCACATGGTGGTTTTCTGAGCTGGTGTCTACAGGTTTCCCTACCTGTACTGAGACACTCGGGGGTTCTGGTATTGGTGCTTGCCTGCTCCACCACCCTGGGGTTCAGGATCTCCACCTTGTTTGTTGAGGTGGGGTTTTCTGCTGGCTTGCTGAGACACCTCCTGTTCTGTGCTGCTTCTCTTCCTCCAGAGTGAAAGGGGCCTTTCCCATTAATCTCCCAAGCTTCCTGAGCTATAAGACTGCTGCACTCCATCTTTCTGCTGGTTCAGCTGTTCCAGGGTTTCTTCCTGGGGTGACATGTTCTGGGCTTTTGGAAGTCAATAAGGGAGAGTGAGAGCAACTTACTTCTTACTCTACCATCTTGGCTGCTGGAAGTGGAAGTCCTCTAAATTGTTTATGGGGTGGAAGGTGTGTACAGGAAAGACTAGTACCTCTGGTGTGAGGGCTGCTTTCCATCTTTGGTGTCCACCTGATGCACCTAACTTTCACCTGTGGTTCCAAGAAGCAAAAGTGGCCACCCACCGGTAATCCATTTTGGCAGATGGGCTAAACTAGATTGAAGGTAACCAACGAGTCTCAAACCCATTGGTGAGTTAGGGGGGTATCTACCCCAAGCATGTGAAGACTTCCCCTGCTGAATGAGAACATTTTGTTCCAAGAGCTATGAAGGCAGCTGAAGCAGGCACTGTGGAGCACTTAGCACTTGGTTAAACAATAAAGATGACAAGGTTATCCACTGCATCTTGAGCCATCACCAGTCATCTTGACTCTGGATTGTGATGACTCTGGAAGAGACAACTTTGTGCAACTCTGCCTCACTTAAATTCCAATTTACACATGAATCAAAAGACAACACCCAAACCATTTTATCTTTTTGCCTATCTCAAAGTCCTGTGGTGACAGGCACACAGGTGCAGATACACTGGGAGCTGCAGTCACAACCTTGCACACAAGTGGCCCAGGCCATAGGTCATCTTCTCAGTAGAAACAGCAGTGGGATTCAGCAGCCCCTTGGGTGTTTGAGCAGCCTTTTAAGGATTGCATTGCTCACCTCCTGGTGTGAGGAAGGGGCTGGAAAAAGTGCCTTAAAAATTGGGTGCTTACCCAGCCATGGCCTGATCACTATGGCAGGGCGGGATGCCACCCTGTGGTTGAAATACACAAAAAATCTACAAAAATGTCTGCAAAGATGATTTCACTCACTATCAGTACAAGGAATGTGTGCACACTTATAGACAATACAAAATCCAGTAGATCTGAAAAATGAACAGCACTTGTTGTGAGAGAACTCAGAAGGTATTGCCTCTGAATAAGAGCCCTGAGTGAAACAAAGCTGGCAAATGAAAGGCAGCTTGCTGAAGTGGGAGCTGGATACACATTTTTTCTGGAGTGGCCTCAGTGAGGAGGAACACTGTGAAGCTGGTGTAGGTTTTGCAATCAAAACTAATCTTGTCAAAAAGCTCTTATGACTACCAAAAGGAATAAATGACAGACTCATGACAACGAGATTGCCACTTGCAGAAAAATGCTATACTACCATCATCAGTGCCTGTGCTCCCATCACGATGAACCCTGATGAAGTCAAAGAAAAATTTTATGAACACCTGGAGACTCTCATCATCAATGTGCCAAAAGAGGACAAGCTTATAATTCTGGGAGACTATAATGTGAGAGTAGGTTCAGACTACCAGACTTGGCCGGGAGTGTTAGGGAGGAATGGAGTTGGAAACAGCAACGACAATGGTCATTTATTATTGAAGACCTGTGTATCTCATGACCTAATCATCACTAATACTATCTTCTGTTTACCTAAATGCAATAAAACTTTGTGGATGCACCTTTGTAGTAAACATTGACATTTAATAGACCATGTCATCATAAAGAGAAGAGAGAAACAGGATGTGAGAGTGACGAAGGCAATGTGTGGTGCAGAGTGCTGGACTGATCACAGACTTATCCTCTCCAAACTGAATATTCACATTCAACAAAAGCAGTGGCTCCAAGGCAGAAGAATTAATGTCGACAGATTAGAATGCTTCTCTGAGCGGGAACAGTTCGTTGCTAACTTGGAGGGAAAGTTGAGCTAATACACAGTTGGCAACAATGGAGGAGAAACAGAGTGGGCAGCTTTCAGAGATTTGGTGCACAGCATTACATTTGCTCATCTTGGTCAGAACACTCACAAACATCAAGACTGGTTTGATAAAAATGATGGGGAAATTCAGAAGCTGCTAAATGAAAAACGAGAACTTGACAGGGTTTATCGGGTGGATAGTTTATCCATCTCTGAGAAGGCAGCATTTAATTCCACCAAAAGTAAAGTACAAGTGGAGCTTAGAGATATGCTGGATTCTTGGCTCAGTAAGAAGGCAGATAAATTCAATTTTATGCTGATAGTTACAATCCAAAGCACTTTTATGATGCTCTGAAGGCTATTTATGGGCCAAAGACCTATGGTACATCTTAAATTACTCAGTGCTGATGGAGTCACATGGATTAGTGATAAGGACACTAGAGAGAAGGGCTGAACACTTCCAAAGTATTCTTAACAGATCATCATCAATCAATGCTGAAGCCATTGACCATTTGCCTCCGGTTGAAGTCAGTCCCTCCCTAGCTAAAATTCCATCTGAAGAAAAAGTTTTGAATGCTATTATGCTCCTTTTGTGTAGCAAAGCACCTGGTGTTGGTTCTATTGCAGCTGGGATTTAAAAGGTGGAGGATGGAGTCCATTGCTCATACAAAAGCTGACTGAAAATTTCGAGGTTACATAGCAAGAAGCAGCCATCCTCCAAGAGTACAAGGATGCCTCCGTGTTCATCTCTATAAAGGTAAAGGAAATAGATTGTCCTGTGACAATCGCAGGAGGTTGTCTTTCTTAATCATTGCTGGCAAGATTCTCACCAGAGTCTTCCTTAATAGGCTGATTCTTCACTTGGAAGATGGTCATCTACCTGAGAACCAGTGTGGCTTCAGAAAGGGTCAAGGAACAGTCAATATGGTGTTTGCTACTCCCACAACTCCAGGAGAAATGCCAGGAGCAGAGCAAAGGTCTGTAATGCAATGTCTGTAGATCTGACCAAGGCCTTTGATACAGTCAGTCATGAGGATTTGCCTAGAGTTTATCAGTATTGTATGTCAATTTCATGATAGTATATTTGCCTGGGTTCTGGATAATGGACAATGCTCTTGTGCTTTCCCAGTTGCCAATGGAGTGAAACAAGGCTGTGTGCTTGCTCCCATGCTTTTTAACACGATGTTTTTAGCCACATTTTCAATGCCTTCAATGAAGATGAACATGGCATTAAGGTCAGCTACTTCAGGGATGGTAAATTCTTCAACTTGAAAAGGCTATCAGCCAAGACCAAAGTGGAGGGAGTGTTGATGCATGATTTTTTGTTCACAGATGATTGTGCACCCCATGCAGCCTCTGAAGCTGAGATGCTACAAAATACGGATCGTTTCTCTGCTGCTTGTGCTAATTTTGGCCCAACAATTACACCAAGAAAACACAGGTACTCCATCAGCCAGCACCACACCACCGATATGTGGAACCATTGATTACAGCAAATGGAGAAGTTTTGAAGGCTATGGATGAACTTTGTTTACCTCCTCAGTATACTTTCTAGGGAAGTGCATGCATTGCCAGAGCTAACTCAGTGTTTGGAAGGCTTGGAAGGAAAGTGTGGGAGAGAAGAAGTATTAGGCTGACTACCAAACTGAAGGTCTACAGAGCTGTTGTGCTGACCTCATTGTTGTATGACTGTGAAACCTGGACAGTGTACCCACACCATGCCAGGAAACTGAATGGCTTCCATATGAACTGTCTTAGGAAGATTCTGGAGATCACTTGGCAGAATAAGATACCAGAAAATGAGGTCCTTTCTTGAGCTGAATTGCCAAGCATAAAACTCTGCTGCAGAGAGCGCCACTGTGATGGGCTGGCCACATTGTTCAAATGTCAAATGTACACTTGTTTAAAAGACTATTTTATAGAGAACTTACGCAGGGCAAGCTCTCACCTGGTGGTCAGAAGAAGCGATACAAGGAAATTCTCAAAGTCTCTCTTCAGAACTTTGGAACTGATTGTGTGACACGAGAGACACTGGCACAGGACTGCCCACCATGGCATGCCCTCATCAAAGAAGGTGCTGTGCTCTATGAGCAAAGCAGAATTGAAATAGCTCAAAAGAAACTCAAGGTATACAAACCTGGAAAGCCTGCCCACTCCAAATGTTCACATGGACTATTTGTGCCTGATCTATGGCAGAGCATTCTGAGCTCATATTGGTCTGATTAGCCACAATTGGATGTATTGTAACTTGACTGTAACATAGTGATGTCATTTTGGTCCTCTTTGAGAACAAAATACAACAACCAACCATTTATGGCATGTATTCATTTGGAGCTTATTATGGTATCCAATGTAAAGTATTTATCTAAACCTGATTTCTGCCAAACTGCTAAATTTCCCAGTAGCCTTTCTTGAACATGAAGTACTAGTTCTAGTGAGCACAGTGGTACTATGTTCAGTTGTTTCTGGGTCATATGTTCTTAATGTTTGATTGGTCAACTTTTCTATTAACTAATCAGTACCAGTACATTCTAAATTTGGTACTGCTTGACCCCCAGTATAGCATAGTCTGAGATCTGGTACTGCTAGATAGACTCCCATTATGTCCACTTTTTATTATTATTTTCCATGAGATTCTTCACATTTTATTCAACCAAATATATAGCATTATTGTTTTTCTAGTTCTTTAAGGTAACACTTTGATCATTTGATTGGTATGATACTGAGTCTGTAAATAAATTTTGATAGTATCATCATTTTTGTTATGTTATCATAGACCAACCATAAGCAATTAATATTTTAGCAATTATTAAGGTATGTTTTCACATCTGTGAAGAGTGTTTTGTGGCTATATTTGTATCATTCCTCTATTTCAGTAGCTGAAATTCCAGATTCTTATATAAAATGTTCTTTTTTTCCCTTCTCTTTCTTCCAGCTAGGTTTTGTTGGTAATATACAGGAAGGCTGATAATTTTTGTGGATTTATTTCAGATCCTGCTACTTTGGTGAAGCTATTATTTAATTCTTTCTTTCTTATTAATTATTTTCTCTTGGAGTCCTTAATGTCATCTTCAAAAAGTGATCATTTCGACTCTTTGCCTATGCTAATTCTCTCCATTTCTTTTTCTTGTCTTGTTATTATAACAAGAATTTCTAGAACTATAAAAAATAATAGTGGT